ATAACTGATTTGGAAAAATTCTCTAATTCAGCTATGTTGTCCTAGATTGTTGACTTCTTCTGCCTTCTCCAAACTCTTCACCCTTTTGTGAATAACCATGTTAGTTTCAATGTAAGGGGGAACTGAAGTTTTGTGCAGGATTAAGCATTAAGATCTATCTTACAGTGAATGATACTTTAGACATTAAGGATACTTGGTGGATTTTGCCTGATTTTTAAAGATGGAAGCTCCACTCCAAAAACAAACCAAAAACAGTAAAGCTTACCACACACTGGCTGCAGATGCATTGGTGTTGATACTTTCAGAAAGACTTCAAATATCGACCATGTTCATTTACTTACATAATAAATGTTGGCTTTCCACCAGGAAAGGAGACAGATGGGATTTATTTGGTGTGTGCCACAAACTCTCAGGAGCCTCCAGTAGAGTTAAGAAAAACATGAACAGGTGCCTTAAATAGTGAGTGCCTCCTGAGTTTCCTGTGAGTGTTGGCAGAACTGCATGTGCATTCTGAGTATGCCCCACCATCAAATTAGTCATGGTCAATTTTTGCTGCACCCTATCATTTTCTGTAGTAATGACTCTGTTCTTGTACAATGCAAAATGTGGTGTGTGTTGTTTCTTGCTCTATATGCATTGCAGCCAGCAATTAACATATAGAAAAAGTACTGGACAGTATGCTTTAAAGCAGTGGTTCTCAACCTTTGTAGGGCCGGGACCCCTTGGTAACATTTGTCAAGTTGTGGTGACCCCCAAAGGTAAAATTTAGGGTTGACGTGGCTGCTGCAGCAACATCTGGCAGTGTGGTGGGAGAACTGACACTGCTGCGCTAGGAGAGGGTTGAGGAGGACTCTCACCGAGCACAGCAGAAATCACACAGCGACCCACAGGTTGAGAACCACTGTTGTAACAGCTAAAATGGCAACCCATATAACACAAGCCGAGGGTGTCAGCTTTTATTATTAATAATAATGATGATAATCTAATAGCTATCTAATAGTGGGAGACTCCCGGCGACCCCTGGCAAATTGTCATTCGACCCCCAAAGGGGTCCCGACCCACAGGTTGAGAACCGCTGCTTTAAAGCATCATTGGCAGCAGGCATCTGTAACGTTACTTCAGAGAATAAGGTTGCACCATAAGACCCTCTAAAGAAAGTCAAGAGACACTGGTTAGACATCATTCTGTTAAATTGTACAGTGTCAACTTTGATACTAAAAGCATGAAACTGAAGAACTAGAATGTAAGAAATCCAGATCTGAGGATAATAATTGGGTCAGAAGATTGAGATATTTAATTTTATTCCAGAAATGTAAGCAAATGAATGAAATGGTCTCATATACATGTTTACATCCAACAGTTCAGAAATATTGTTTATACATATAGTAAAAATGTACATCCTTTTACTGTACCAGGTCTCATTGATGAAAGGTTTTGAATTATTTGAACAAATATACCAACAATTCAAAAGAGTAAGACATTTTATAATAGCTACATGTACAAGAAACCCAGGATTTTTGTTAAAAAAATAATAACATAAAAAAGCAATATCAACTTTCACACTTTAGCATGTCAAGTTTTTTTCTTTTTAAGCATTGTTACTAACATGAATAAATTTGCAACAGCTTCAAGTGAATATGACCAATATCAACACATATTAAATATTATTCTTTCAGTGGTAATGTAGTAATATTTCTACCTGTGCTTCCAAAGTCCTCACCTATATTCTATGTTTTTGAAAATTAAGAGTTTAGGGTACAAAAGATTATGAATGTCCCTCCAATATTTTGAGTGCCAAAAAATAAAGGATAGAAGTAATTTTACTTAACACTTTAACAGTCATATGAAATTTAAACCGTTTTTCTAGCAGATGATATGTGCCGTGAATACAGAATGTATGCTATAAGCCAGCAAATTTATGTGCACTGATCACCTATCTGCAAAAGAGGAAGCCCTTTTGTTAATTAAGCCAGCAATCAAGAAATTTCCATCCATGGAACCAAGCCTAGTGAAAATTTGGTTGTGCAATGTTCTACAAACATCGGTAATTCCAAGTAAGTTTTTGGTTGCAACTTTAAATGATGAACAAGCTCATAAAAAGCTTTCCTCACCTTTGTATAGGTCACAGATGCACTTTAAGGGTCTGCTACATGGCCAGTTTCTTTTTTTGTCTACTACAATTCCTTACTGTTAGTCATTGGAGGAGCAGCTTATTGTGGGCTTTGTAGCAAAACATAAGGATACACAACACTGCACAACTAGTTTGAATGACCACAAGTCTCTGCAGGTCATAAGTTCCATTTGTTGCATGACTTGCAGTCCCAAATCTGCTTGTTAGAAAGCCAATGATTAATTATGGGAAAGAAAAGGTGTTTCTAGGCCACCCAGAAATCGCCCATGTAGGAAAAGCCCTAACCCACTGTGTTCTTGTGGATAAAACTACGTAAACTAAAAATCTGCCTGGTGTTAGAGGTAGACAGTTTTCTTTCAAATCCCAGGTTTGGTCCTTTAATTTTACTCAGCAGTGAAAGCCATGAGTACAGAACAAATAACAGCTGTTACAATTCAACCATGACTTCTAATGTCAGAGAATTCAAGGAATGAACACACAGTAAGTACATGGCAATGAAAAAGTATCAAAAATGAGTTTACCTCAAAAAAGATAAATAAACAGGTATATACCACCAATACATAAACAGATGTTTGTGCTACAGTTAAAACTGGCTGTATACAAAACATAATGGTTCCCCATCATCAGCGTATGATAGAAGCAAGAATACATGAGCCATTTAAATTGTCAGACAGTATGCTTTATAAGGTATGCACAGAAGTTCAAGCAATAAATACATACATTAGTTCAAAGCCTTACAACAGCTACGCAAAGCAGAGGGGGAAAGCAAGTTTGCTATTACCTAGCAAGCAATGATATAAGAGAAAAAATTAATGAAATGCATTAATGCAACATTTTTCTTAGAAAAAAGTCTGGTCATTTATGGGTCCACCAACATTTTTACATAATATGCACAATTATCAAAATACAGACCAAGCATCTCAGAAAACCCCAAAAAAACCTAACATCTAATTTCAAAGCAATTGCAGTTTTAGAGGTTTATCTGGTATAGTGTGCAAGCAGCTATTTTTAATTGTATTTATACAAAACCCATGCAAAACTCTACAAGTATATGCATTCTGTGGCTGAGACTTCCTTTAAAGTTTTGTAACTGAGGTATGCATACTTAAGCATTGTCGTCTTTGGCCACTTTCTAGGTGGTGCAAATATCACATTATTTCTAGCAAGGTGGACGCACATATGAAGACTGATTGCCCTTTTTTCTGGGGAGATTTTGTTTCTCCTTTCCAAAATGATTGAGGGCTATCTTTGTATCGTAATGTGACATGTTAATTTAATATTACTTAACTGAGCTTACATTGATCATGACCAATAGACAAATACCAAAATAGTTGCAGGTACTTTGATTTTGTAAGAATTAACATTATGCCATTTTATTTTAATTTTGTCTTCTTCAGAGGTAGACGCTTTCAAAATGCCTTTTGGGTAAGTGGGAAAACCCCTTTGAAAGCTGTTGTGTCCTATTTGGCGTGATAGATGACTGCGTATAATTCTTGCTTCAGCAAAGAATAAGTGTTGAGCTTAGTTTGCAAGAACCATTTCCATCAAATGGAGCTGGTACATATGTTAAGCTCTAGCAGCCACCTTTGTCAAAACTATTTGTAAAGCAATAACCATAATTAGGTTATGAGGTCCCTTGGTTGGGGTAAAGTTTTATCAAGACTTGGCACAGCACATAAAAAGCAACAAGTAAAGTTTCTAGGTTTTAGCAAACACCTACATTTTGTTATTTTCAACATAGACAATAATGAATTTGGATTATTTTTGGGTTATGAAAACCAGCATATTCCAACAAGTTGGTCAGTGCAAGTTTTCAGAGGGAAGTGTATTGTTTGTATTAATATCCCGTTTAAGCAGAGGCAGAATCCTATGTAACTTTGGTTTGACTGAAAATAAATACCATGATCTACAATTGCTATATCTTTGTTTTCAGTGTAAAAACTTACCTAGCTCACTTTAAATCAATATGAAATTATTTTTTGGCTTTACTAGACCTTTTATGTTTGGTTCCTACATTTTTATTATAACTTAAGACTGTAAAAATAGTACACAACAGATAAAGACCATACATTACAAGACATACTAACAACATGTATTCACCACAAAAATGAAATAAAATAAAAGGTAAAAAAAAAGGAGACTGTATGGAAGTAAAACCACATTGTTTTATATATATATAACAATATGCATTCTGCATTTGTATCAAGTACATATTTATATATTTTGGTTGGTTCTCCACATTTTCTTGTTTTCTATTAAACTTCCACTGGATTGTTCTCACTTTCTCCGTAGGTGAGATCTTCGTCATATTTGGAGTGGCTTCTGGCCTCAGAAAACTTAACTTTTTTCATATTTATTTCTTTGTGTAGGGCTAAATAAAAAGATCCCAGAGGTCATCAGAAAACAGCAGGTAGTTCGTGGAACGGTTCCTTTGTACGAATTAAAGTTACAGAAGACTGACCAAAGCAAGTGGCTGCTTCTGTCGTTGAGTTATTGGCCATTGTTAGAGTTGGCTTTGGTATGCAGCTGTAGCCTTTGACTGTATTCTCAGGTAGACAAAGCTTTATCACAAGGAGGTAAATAGTACAGTTGTCAGATAGATGCAGATATGCAAATGTTTCTATGGTGCTCGCACAGACAATGTTAGTTTAGGATTGCACTTTACAACTTAACACTAACAGCACAGACTGGAAGCCTAAAGGTTCTTGGATGTGCAACAGTCTAATTACTGTGGTTTGTAATAGCTAATTTATGTCATTTACAGCTGGTGGCACCAACAAAAAAGTAAAAAAGAAAGAAAGGGAAAAGTAACACAAAAACAAAAAGAAATGTGCTTGCTGATTTTTTCAATTCGGCTAGAACAATTATTATTACAAACTTCTGATCCTACTCCTGTGCAAATAAAAAAAAAATAGCAACAAGTTGAACTTGGCCGGGAACAGTTTCTAACATTACATCTACTGTATGTTTGAGATTCACATTGATGAAACTAACACTATTTTTGGCAGTATATGAGGCCATTTTCTTTCTACAGAACAAGTTTCCTCATTTTCAGTCATTTCATGAACCTTTTAAGCCATATTTTAAATGGGCAAGCCATTATATAAAGAAAAGTTTTTGTTTTTGTTTTTTTTCAAGAAAATCAGTTTTTGTCTTAAAAAAAGAAGACAGCAAGCAGATTCTTTGTTGCATTAAATCCAAAAGGACTGGTTGAACAAGTTCCTCTAGGACTGTCTCCATAATCCATGCGTAATAAATAGTCACAGTAAAAATCTGTCAAATATTCATGGTTGTGGAGTGGTTTTGAAGGTCAGTGCAATGTCCCTTCATATGAGGTCTCTTAAGTCTGTTTTTTATTCCAGATCTTCAGACAAGGGCTCATCCTCAAGCTCTCTGTCTTCTTCCAAATCTGGACTGTGATTAGCTGTTGTGACCAATGACATTGGGCAGTCCTCGTCATCTGCAATCACTGGCTCTTCTTTGACATGTACAGAATGT